AACCTAGAAATCTATGAATCTATGAATGTGTGCTTGGGATAATTGATGGTGCTGCCCTGGGGTCCGAAATATCTTCCCATATACTACTGACTTTTATGCCATTTTGCCTCTGAAATTTATTTTAAATAATGATTCTGACAGCTCTCATTTTTCCTTTGTTAGATATTAGTGAGTGTTATTGGATATTTCTTTTTAGAAGCACAAACATACTACAAAAAAATACATGAGCCCATTGAGATTGAATAAAATATCTCCATAGCAACATTCCAGATAATGATGTATGACTGGTAGTAGACAGACTGGCAAACTTTGGCCCTAATTCTGCATCCGCATTTGCTGCCATAGTCTTCTGAGCCCAAAAGTGTCTCTAGAAGTGAAAAGATCTCTTTTTCTCTCCTCTGTAGTTATTTGGCAGGAATGATTGATTTTTTCCAGATGTGGATAAATATGAAAATTTATTTTATTAGTTTTTATATAATCAGCTGCAAATGCAATCAAGAACATCCCCTCAAGGCAAATGAATATTTTGGCTTTGCTTGCTTTTTCACAGAAGAAATGCTACCATAATTATATATTTTAGGCTTGTTTTATAATATGTTTAAATGGTATCTTAAATAGTTCATTTTAAATTAAGCAATTGATGTGGATTTCCGTACAATGCAATAAAGTTTTCATCTGCAGGATAATACTCAAGGTAATAAAAAAGATCACACTATATTTTAAAGGCACAGGTTCTCAAAAATCTATTTAGGAAATTTTTTTTTCTCTGTTGGCATTAGTGTACCCACATCCAGTGCTGTATTATGCATAGTCACTTGTGTGATCAGGATCTGAGCCGTTTCCCAGGTTCACCTGTGTAAACATGAGTGAAGTTACATTCCCTCGGGTCACTTACGGTTTGCACTGAAGCTTGTATAACTTACTTGCTGTTTATGTATTTTATCAGTTGTCTATGTCAAGCTTTCATACACAAATCAGAGAAAAACTTGCAAGCAACTACTATTTTTAAAGCTAAAAGGCATCACATATACTGCATAGCAAATTAGATGGTTTTAAAATCCACCCTTGAAGTAGGTGCAATTTCCTTTCATCTAGAGTGTTCTGTATTCCAGGGGAACCTGGTGATAAACAGTAGTTAGTTACAGACATGAGTCATAATTATGTTCTTTCTCTCTCGTTTAAGTTATTCGAGTTCATGAATTTCCTGGCTGAGAATGTCATCTTCTGTTACATGGGACTTGCACTATTCACGTTTCAAAATCATATCTTCAATCCTCTTTTTATATTTGGTGCATTTGTATCCTTTGTTTTAAAGAAATGTGTATCTATGTATATATATATTTATATATTAAAAAATGAGGAAAAAAAGTCAACAAGCAAATCAATCAGTTCCTTAAATAATAAAAATCAGTTTTTCATCAAGTCCAAAGGCAATCATCTTTATGACGTGTATCTCAATAACTGGCTCAACGCATGTAAGTTCATGTCTTTTGACAGCTGCTGTTTTGCAGATCTACCAATGCAAATAGCTTTAAACCACCTGGGGAACTTTTACCACTGTTTAGAGGTGAGGTGGGAAATTGGGATATGTATTGGGACATACCTGTGGGGACAGGTGCAGGCACGCAAAATCTTTTTGCCTGTCCAGAGCCAGTGCAGATCCACAAACAGTAGAGCTGCCTCCAGACAGGTATGTGCCATAAACAGAACTTCCTCAAGGCTACTTAAATGATATTAAGTCCTTAAAAAGCAAACAGTTCTGCGTTACTCAAATCTTTCCTTCGTTGTATTTGATATCTCTATTGTATACAGAATTATTTACATCAACACATGCCTAAGTGACTTGTAAGAAAAAGAGTCTGTGTCTGTAATTCTGCGATGGTTTCTCAACAAATCTGTCACTTACTTGTACATTGGTATCGATTATTTTCACGGTGACAATTCCACAACTATTTTTTTGGCTCAGAGCAGCAGCCCTTTGCTTATCACTTTTGATGGCAGCTTTAAAAATTGGGATCCTACTGTTTACTTGCTGTAATTTTTATATGTAATTTCCAGATGAACAATAAGAGCTGCATCACAGCTCCCTGGGCTCCAGGTTGGGTTAGATGGCAGAGAGGACCCCAAGAGCCTAATGCACCCCACCACCACCTCGAGGCAAGTGCAATACTCTGTCCTGTGCTTCTGGCATGGGAAGACAGTTGAGCACGAGAGCAGCACTCAGTGCCCCAGACAGGGACTGTGTGGCAGAGCGCTGCAGGGACCTGGCTCTGCCATTTCCTGTCACTAAGAGCCAACAGACTGCAACAGGGTCACACTGGAGAGCTGAGCACAGGGTATGTGAAGCAACCACCACTCATGCGTGTTCTCCCAAGTCTGTAGGAGCTTTAAGCAGCTCTTGGCCCAGCAGATATGACACATAGAGACATTGCCACTCAGGTACTTCATCTACTACAGTTCAAAGCATGTCTCAGACTGAGAGTAACATAACTGAGCCCTAAGAGTGACAAGACAAGGGGGAGATGGAACCTGCTAAAAGCATGTATAAGGAGCCCTGATTGCCTTTTTTTTACATCTGAAATAGCCTCATGGTTCTAATTAGGGGAACTTTTTTGATCGTTCCACAGAGGAGTAATAAAGAACCCCTTTCAAAAAATCTCCAAAGAAAAGGGGGAAAAAAAAAAAAAAGGTGAAAAGTGCTGGATATAGACAATATGCATTGGCAGGAAGTAAGAAAGTAATCATGTCCAAAAGCACATTTATTCTTTGCAAATTGCTGCTCAAGGAGATTATACCATCTCTGCAATTGATGACGGGCATTTTATTGAAGGACTGAAGATGAAGTCACATGTGATACAAATGTGATGAGTAAAAGCAGAGTGATTGAAGTGGGATATGTAATGATGACTATAAAACCAGGATGTCTGGGGAAGACAATCTCTGCCACTGCACAGTTTTATAATGATATTGGAACCAGAAGGATCTGACATGTAAAATATGAAGGAAGACAATCTCATATTCGTTTTAATTACACTTTTAAAATAACTTTGTAGAAATATTGGGTTTAAGTTAACTGTGATTTTGTCAGTAGTTCCTCCACCATTTTCCTCAACATCTTACATTTTAGCTGGCAGTTTTTGCAGCAAGAGCTTGCAACATATATCCACTTTCTTTCCTTTTGAATTTGGGTCGAAAACAAAAGATTCCCAGGAACTTCCAGCATATGATGATGTTTTCAGGTAAGTGCTATTTTGGTATTTTTCCTGTCCACATTTAACAACTGGCAAAGATAGTCATCTATCACAAAGAAGTCATTATCTTCCAACTCAGGCTAGTCTCTTCAAAGCTACTGAAGCAAATGGGATTGTACGCTCATCAACTTCACTGTGCTGTTTTAATTAACTTTTTGGAAACATACCACCCAAGAAGCTGGTCTTTCAACCCATTGCCTCCCATCTGTCTACACTTCCATGACAATTTGGGAATACCATGTTTTTATGTTGTATTGTTCTAGAGGTAACTGTAGTATACTTGAGAGTGTGCTTACATACCAGCAAATAAATATCCGACTTTGAAGGTGTTAGTACTGATACTCAAATCACACACAGTCTTTGGCAATTTCTTTAATTCAGGAACAGCTTTACTGTGAAACATGATTACTTTGAAACATGAGCTTTAAAGGAGACTTTAATTCCACAGACCTTTTCATATGTATTCCGACCTGTTATTCAAGTACTTTATTTTCCGAGTTCAGATTTTATTGATTTTTAACTCTAGTTAACATTGTAGAACAAAAAAATAATCCAGAAGAGAGAGTCATGTTCTACTCTGATTTGTGCATCATACCCTGAACTGTTAAAATCTCAACTGGATTCTGTATTTTTGGACTGGCACTAGCTAGAAATAACTGCACTTGACTTTCTGACGCTAGTTAGAAAAAACTCACTTAGAAGCTAAGAATATTTGTTCAGTAAAAGACAGAAACAGATCCCCCAACGCCATTTATGAAATAATTTTCTAAAATTAGAAAGTCAGCACTTTTTTCTTCATTTTCTTGCTTTTTATACAAAAATGTATTCGAATTTTTTATAGAGAAAAGATCTTGATTGATAGCCTTGATGTACACTGATCCATTTAGCCAGATAATATGTGAAATATAATGTGCCACATTTTAAATTTCCTCATCAGGAGTACTCCACATCAGGGTGCCTCATTTATGCCTATATAATTCCACTTCTCTACAGAGCAAAACAGTAGTTCATTTCTATATCCAGTCAATCCTTCTGCTAAAAGCTAGCACTGAAAATGTCAGTTAATACCAGCTAGATTGTAGTGAGGGATGACGACATACATCCATTAGGAACTGGTTTTCAGACCGCCTGCTCACCTACAATTGTTAGCCATGTAAGATGTATATGTAGATCACTCTAGTAAAGCTAGCAGGTGGCCAACTAAACAGCATGAATGATAGCTTCATATCATTAGTTATCTAGTTTCTGGGCTCCATTTTTGCTTTTATTTCTTATCAGATAAAGCATAGAATTATAAATCTTCTGAAAAATCTCTTATTCTTCAACGTTTCTGTCCTGGTTTTCTCCAGTCAAATTTTATTCTCCACAGAACTAGGAGCCGAAAGTAGCCTGCAGCCAGCAACTGAACATGAGAACTCACACTCACACATTAGCTTTCCAGTACAATCTGGCCACTGAGAACTGAAAATAGTAGTATTGAAAACTTCTAAAATATAAATGTTAAAATACTCAGAAAAGTCATTTGTAACTGTTTTCAAAGAAACACTGTGTTTTGTAGAGAAAAACATACTTACAACACTTTAAAAAAGTAATGGCATCATCTGTAAGTAGAGCAATAAAGACACTGCCTCTCACACTGCCAGCAGTGTGCGCAGAACACTTCGGATATGTAGATTTTCTGTGTAATTGTACTTTTGAATATGCACTAAGATTTGTGCTCAGAAACATTATTTACTATCAACTGATCGTCCTATATATAGTGATAAACAGAGAAGACAATGACTGCCAGAAGAGAGACACATTTCTGACATGAGTGAAGGTGGCATTGAATTTGAGTTTGGAGGAAGACGCTTATTGCTTGCACAAGATCAGCAGCACCATTCCGATATAGCATCAGGTTCCAATCGATCACAGGGAAAACTGGGCTTCACTCACCACAGCTTCACACACCAACATGCAGAAGCCACAAATTTGGGGATAGTTTTGTTTTCAATCTTGTCGTTACTGAATGCACCCAACACTTACTGCTTTCTTTACTGAGTTTTACTGCCATAATCACCATGACTATCAAAGTCTGAAAAAAGCAATTAAGGTCAGGCAAGTATATTGTTGATTAGCATTTGAGTATATCACACTCTGCGAAGAACTCTACTGAAGTCATGAACTTCTACTTTTTAAGGAGTATTGATACATTTGATAAAAGACGGAAGGGTTAGTGCTTAGAAGTGGATTATGTAGCATTTTGATTTATTACATTCTTCATCTGCTTATGCCACTGCTCTAACGTTAAACACGTTTTGGAGAGTAGATTCACTTTTACAACTATGTTTAATCATGATTCCTGATGATAGTCCGTTGTAAATCAAAACTAGATTAGTTGTTGTATAATTAAGCCTGAGCTTCTCAAATTAAGTTCAACATCAGCTAAAATGAGCAGGCCAGCAGTCTCTGCTCATGTAAAAAAGAAATATTTTAAAGCCTTAAATTATAAGGGATCTAGCACTGTACAGTAGTGGTCTATGCTGCATGAAAACGCCTCATTTCAGTTCAGACCCTGCTATGATGCCTTTAACTGGTAATAAAATGAAAAGAGAAGGAAACTAAATGGATCCAGATGGACTTATTAATGGCAATAACATCTTTGATATTTAGGTATCACTGCCACATGACTAGGAGGGGATTATTTCACAGGTACAGTACTGCACGTTCCGCTCTTCTTCCAGTATCTCCGTTTACTTTTTACTGTGCTTTCCTCTTCTCTACAGCATATAAACAAGCAAAAGAGAAGCTTGTAGGACACAGTGCTACGGGGTGGCTGCTGTTAATATAAAACATTATTGCAGCAGTGGTCTATAAGGGTTGAACACAAATGTAGAAGAAAAAAAAGAATGCCTGTGTACAGGCAGTTGTTGCGCAGACATTTACATCTGCACACTTGTATGTACATGTTGGTGGGAAGTGTCAAAGTGAACTTTTCCAAGAGGAGAGGTATGAAAAGAAATCAGCTAAAGAGAAAAGAAAGCAAAGAAGAAAAGAGTAGAGAACTACAGTTGAAGCCTAAACACCAGATCTACATCCAGAAAGTCTCCTTTCCTGGCAGATTCTCTCCACACTACTCACAAACACTACTGCCTTCAAAGCCTCTTCAGAAGGACTGGTTTGGAGTGACATGTTTGTGGAGCGTAAACAAAGGATGTATAATGGCCCAATAGAACACACCTTTTCTATTCTGTGGGCCTGTGAAGCTTAACCCTTGGGGTGGTTTTCTTTGGAGGCCCTAACACATAAAAGAACATCGCTTAAAGATAAATCCCTCGTGGCTGGTACAGCTAGCAGAAAAATCTAGTAGAAAATCTGTGGTAGAGCCTAAAAATGTGATCAATAGATCACCACACAGATGTGGAGCTGCTGTCAGAGTGGTATCTCTGAAACGTGAGGGGAGAGAATCTCTGCTAATGCTTCATCAGAGCATCTTCCTTCCACCACACCACTGTTTCCAGGTGTAGCTGAGGTACCAATGTCCATTGGACCCCCAGTCGTTCCATTGTTCTCTGTTGGTGTTTTCCCTGAGGTGTTACAGAAAACCTATCTTATCTTCAGAAACCATCCTTATCTTCAGTGTATTTCAGTATCTTACCATCTACTGAGGTTAACATTCCCTTCCTTCGTTTCCATTGTTACCTCGAATGGATTTTGATGTATTTAATAGTGTTCCTTGCTTCTCATTAAGTCTTTACGTTTTAAGTTATATTCACCTTCTTTCTGCTGCTTTAGTTGGAAACAAATGCTTTGTTTGATATTTATTTTAGATGCATTTTTAGTTGAAACTGAATTAGGTCTTATAGAATATGTTGAGCCTTTTATAAATGAAAAATACAGTGAAGGCACTCACTATTTCTCTAAATTGAAGAAATATCCAGTCCAGCACTCGAAGTAGAAAGTCTTAATGGCATATTAATTAACAATTATTTTTTTTATATTCCCTCTTACCAAAAGAAGTGTTCTAGATTTAATAGTGCAATTACCATTGTGATGCAGCTGTGGGCAGCACCATTGTTTTCCACCAAAATGTAGCCATTAATAATTTAAGCATTTCATCTGGGCTAGTCATCTATATTACTGCTATAACCACTGGAAAAAGACCGTTTGGATAGTGGTTCATTCCCTCCTCAGGTACATGTTTAAAATGAGCTGATATTTTTTTCCCATGAGAAAAGAGTAAAGCATGTGCATCCTTAGAGACATCTTTTACAGAAAAGCAAAGTAAAGGACATGCTCACTTGTTGACTGCAGTGTTTTTTTCATAAACGTAGACATTGTAAACCTGCTGCCACTGACCATTTTCAGCTGATGCAACTACAGTCTGGTACTTCCTTGAAGAAATGGCTTGGTGTTGTTCTCTGGATAAACTGTCCATCTTCCATACCAAATAATTCACATTCTAGCTACGTAATCTTAAAGAGCTTTAGAGTTCTATTCCAAAAATAGCTACTTTTTAGTGGTCGATTAAATGATTCTGCATGTACCATCCGTGCCTTAGAAGATGTTTAATTATTAGGTTTAATTTCTCAATACTTGCAAAGTACTTTTTGGATTCAGTGTATATTGTACACATGTAATAGCCTTGTTCTTACTTTCTGGAATTTTTTTTAGAAAACAATAAAGTAAATTTAAATAGATAAAGAGAACACATTGGAAAATATAGAGTATTATTTGTATTATGCATCCTGAGGGCTGGAAGTACTAGTAGGCTTTTTTTTTTTTCCTCTCTCTTTTTAAATGTGTCACTCTGCAAGGACCTATTTAGTATTATTACTACCTATGGGGCTTTTTTTAAACTGTAAACTGTTTTCTCCACATGTGTGTTTTTGTTTACTCAGTCTCTGTACGTGTATTATTTTACAACTATTATAACATTTCAAGTACACTAAGAGATAAAAATTTACATTTATTCTGCATCCCCTTAAATCATCTTTTGACTTAAAATCATCTTTTAAAAATTATTCACTGTTTTTAATTCATAGTTTTTATGTCTGTTCTTAGCATACTGAAGGATTTTAAGTAAAATTTAAAGAAATTTTCTATTGTTTCAAGCAAGAAACGGGTAGCCTCCTTGGGTACAGATTTTAATGCCAACCCTCTTTCTCACTTGCTCCTGATTTCATGAGTGGTCCCACTGAAATCAGTAAAACAACATAGGGAATAGATTTCTTTTTTTAACATGCATGAAGTCCAGATTTTAATTTTAACTGTTTAATTTTCAGTTATTCAGGACAAAGAATTCAGTGGATGTAAAACAAATGTGTGATTATTATGTGAATATAAGAGTACTTTCATTGTCCACTTTGTCAAAGTTGTTTACACTTGCCTTAAACACCATCCTTCCAATGAGCACAATTCAGCATTTTGGAAGTATGATCATGGTTAGTTTCCTCTACCCTTGGAATTGGGTTTGTGTTGGAGAGAGTAAAATTCTCTTTCTCCATCACATTAAGTTCATTATTCTTATCTTTTTTTTTTTTTTTTTTAGGTTTACGTGGTGCAATAGCATTTGCATTAGCTATTCGAGACACAGAATCCCAACCCAAACAAATGATGTTTACAACAACTCTGCTTATTGTGTTTTTCACAGTCTGGGTATTTGGTGGGGGCACAACGCCAATGCTCACGTGGCTTCAGATCAGGTTAGTACTCTCTTTACAATATTAACCATAAAAATAGAATGCAATCACTATGATCAATCACTAAATTCCTACAGCTTTCTAAGGTTTGCTAATATGCTTTTTAATAGTTTTACAAACACAAAGGAAGTATTTGGCTACCTAGTAGAGGCTCCTGACCACAAGGAACAGGTTCTTCCCAAGCTCGTTCTTCCCAAACTCTTCCCAAGAGTTTGGACCTAGGTCAGATCCATCCTTGTTTCCTAAGAGTTTGCTTCACTACTGTTCCTTTTAAACACTCTGAATAAACATTAGCAGTGTTTTCCTCGCTGCTGAAGAAAGAGCTATAAAGGCAGACTTTGCCCTCATCTAAAAACGTGTATTCCTTACACAAACATATCACAAATAATGTATTTCCCATTATAATGTGAATATACTAGAAAATCTGCCTGCATTGGTGTATCATTCAGCCATTGATTTAGTACTCATTGTTTTATATTCTCCTTCACTACATTATTTTTTAAATTATTTCATAGTCATTTGTATTCACAGACAGCAACGAATCACAAGGGAGGTTAAATGAGAAAAGAGAGGGAAATAGGAAACTGGAATAAAGAATATTTAATTTAAATGTAGTGTCCTGCCAAGTGTGCTTTTTTGAAACCCCACTTTTAACAGTAAGAGTGTAATACTATTGCTGAGTTCTGGTTAATTCATAATCCACTTAGAACTCACTGCCATGGTTCGTAAGGTTACCAAAGAAATCCTCAGTATCAAGATAGGCTTCTAATTCACAATGCCTTATCGTTTATTCTATATATAGCACATAGTTTTCTTGTTTACAAAATGATGTCTGATTAACAAGTCTTCATGTCAGGCTGTTGCTATAAAATACCAGCTGAAGATAACTAAACCGGAGCTTTAACAAAGAGCATAGATAAAAGCTGGCCGACGAAATAAGGACCAGCGTAAAAGTGTACTGTATAAAATGCAGGCATGCATATGCAATGTGAGGGCTTTCTATTTATGTGACAGTTTGATTCCTTTTCATGACATCTCTCAAGTCTCATAATGTCAATCAAGTTCATTACAGTTTGGATGTACTCCACCACTATCAGCCATCTTTCTGAGATTTGCCACTTTTTCACTGTTGGTCTGCAATAGAGTTGATTTATATGGCAAGAGAAACGTGGATGAGGAGAAATATTCTCATTAGATCTTGTGGATCAAATATCTTTGGATTACTATAATGAGAGATTAGGGAATAATTTTGAAAATACAGTAAGGGAAAAAGGAGGTGGGCTGTAGTCATGTATCTAGTCTAAGGATTTAGGTTTCTAGATGCCTGTACTGATCTAGCTCTTTATGTAATTTTTAAATTAATATCGTCAAGTGCTTTCACTAATGCAAGCAATTCAACTGGATATAATGGCATTTCTTTACTACTTAGTACTACCCAGAGGTGGGAAGGCCCACAAGACCACAAGCGAGGGGTTGACTCTCACATTAACTATTTATACTGTTCAATGCAAGCACGTGCTTCTTTCTTTATCCACCTGTACAACAGATTTTACAAAAGACACTGAAAGTAGACAGTCATAACCTATGAGTTTCTGTATAGTTGCTTTCTTGGGAGACAGGAATAGTCAAAAGTATAGTGATCAAGCGAATAGCAGTCCAAAGCTGAGTGTGCTTTTTCTGCCCATAAAATGATTATCCAGCAGGTAATGTATTTGATTGAACAGGAGGCATTCAGAGGATAATAAAGAGGAACATGTGATTTCTGAGACTATTTGGATGAACTGAATCTTATTCATATACATTTTAATTTATGCCCGCTCTAGTTATGTGGAGTAGGCTACAGTTACTATCAGTAGTTCAGGCGATGCAACTCTTTACTCCTCAAGGTTGACAAAGTTAGTCATCCTAGAGATAAGTGCTTGAATTTGTATGTTACAGGCCAACTTATCCACATTTTAATTTTAAAACATAAATAAATTTATCATCCATTAAGTTGAAGATCCGCAAAAATAACATAAATTACAAAAAATTGACACTAATATACGTACCATACGCTCTACCATAATGCATTGCAGTGTTAGTCAAGGTAACAGACAGTATTCAAGATGTGTACAACCCTCTTAGTGTATATTATTGTCTACATATTATACTATGTTTCAAGGATTTATTGCACTCTCCATAATCTCCACTGTGAAATTCTCATAATGGTGACCAAGACTCCTCGTATATCAACAGAGTATAAGGGAATAGACCCATGATGATTTTTAAATAATAGTAGTAGTAATAGCCTTCTGGGAAATCAATCTTTGTTTCCATAATAACTAGAATTTCCATAATCTTCCACCTCTCCTCACAGCAATAGCATCAGATCTGCTTTTCTTTTTTTTTTCACTTAAAATTCAACTTAACGTAAATATAATCTGTCGCTCTATTTTTAGAGAAAAGATGAAGATGTGTCCTCAGAGATAACTAGCTTATTTATTCCAGGAATATGTATGGCTTATACAACACTTGCAAATTGTTGCCAAAACATATAGTAAGATATATTATCAAAACTAACCATGTGCTACTGAAAAAGGCTCCAATTCCATCTCCCATTTAATGCAGCAATATCATTCAACTATCTCACAAGGCTTCAGAGGCCAGCTGTGCTGAGAGCTTTTGCAAAAAGAAGCTTAAATGGATCCCAGGAGTTCACCCAAGTTTATTAAGGTTCACAATTATAGGTCCTTTCATTTAACAAACAAGTTCTGCTGCAACACATGCTCCTACTTAAACCATAGCTTGAATCTAAGAAAGGTTCTTAGAGCCTTGGAAATCTGACCTGCTAATAGCAGAAGTTACATCTATATGTCAAAATATAGTTTTAAAAGAAATCCATACCAATTGTTCTCATTGTTTTAAAAGTGTATTTACCCATACAGAGTAGCCTTCAAAATGAGTCTTGAAATTCTTGGCAAAATCTGAATATTTTTTAACTTTGTTCTGAAAGAACAAGACATACATTTTTCAGAATTTATTTTAGCTGTTTCCTATTTTCGACACCTTAAACTGAGTTTCAGGAAGTGTTGAGTGTTCCCTTTCTGAAAACTGGGTCCTGTTTAAATGTTTGCAGTTGTCCAGCACAGTAACATAACATTTCTGAGCATAGAGGCATATGCACAATCAGTTGCAGTGTTATCAGCTGGCATTCTCAGAGGAGAATTGGTTGCACCACGTTCCTAAATATTACATTATCTTTTGCCTCATCTGAGAGTTAAAACTAGAAAAAACCTGCCTTTACTCCCTATGTGAAAAGACTACAATATACTGCTCTTGGCAGACAATGAATAAACCTGCATCAGTGTATAAGAATAATGTCGTGATACATCAACAGCAAAACAAAGAGCCATTTAAGCATGAGTTCACAGTCAAATTCAAGTATTCAATAAATGTGCCTTCAGAGAGGCTGAGTATTACCTACTAATGCTTTTGGATATATGTTTCCCTTCATTTCCCACACTCTGATTAAAAATAGAGAGCTACATTTTACAGTAAATCTGCAATGAGAGGTTTGGGGATAAAGGATTCTCCTTACAGGCAGAGCAAAAATATAAAGCTGTTAATAAAACATGTCCTATAAAGGCATTGAGCTGGGTATTAGGTCCTGTTTGTTTATCATCACCTCCTGTGTAAATGTTTGTCAAGGGATTTCCAGACTCTGTGCATCTCTGCAGCAGTTCTTCAGTGAATAAGGAGATGTTTATTCCATGTGCTAAATAAACACTAAGCAGCACTGAATCGTAACTTTTTTAACTGTCCGGCCACTGCCTTTGGTATGTATTTTAGAAACTAGCTATATCTACGTGCCTGGCTGCCCTTGAAAACATACCATCCCTAGTTCACCTAAAACTTCAGTTCCAAACCTCCTAACTTTCTCTAAACACTAATTCCAGAAGCCTGGCATATCACATTTTGGAGGGATGACCAAGGCTATCCAAACTCACATTCTCAGCAGGAGCATCTCATTGCACTCTTCTATGAGAAGGCACCAACCCAGGAAATGAAATTAATCAAAACAATCTATTCTCCTAATATTGAACTACTGCTTTCCCTAACTTCTAATTGACCCAAACTTCTGGTTTCACTTTCAGAGGTTTCCCAGAGCTCTGCTTATTCTTTTCACTGTTCAGACTCCAGCTTTATAACTACCAACAGCTAACTAAAAAACTAAACATAAAACTTCGAGATTATGCCTTTCCAAAACTTTCTTTGCATCAATAGAGCCAAAAGGTCTTTGATGGTGAACAACAGCTGATCATTCATTCACACTACACTGGTATAAATACAGTATACCTTGATATAGTCACTCTGAGAACACAAAACATAGAAAAACATCATGCATAAAAAATGTAACTGAAAAAATAATCTAACACACATAACAAGAATAAGAGGAGAGGATTCACATTGTTTAAATTAAGACTCCTCAGATCTGTTTAAAATGAGTACATAAGCAAAGAGGATACCATTGCTGTGGAGACTCTTTTCTGTTTTGTATGGAACACAATGCTGACTGGCTAGCAGTAGAGTACAGGTAAACTGGGAGCAATACTTTTATCAGCATAAAAAAAAAAAAATCTGCCATTTGCAAGGGTCAAGTATGCAGTAACCCCCTGTCCATATCCACGGCCATGAAGGAAAGAAAAAATCATTTACAGATTACACGTAGACATATCTCTATCACTGATATGAAGTCACCAAAGTCAAAAGACTTGTCTCAAGGTTCTTTCTATTTATTCTTCATTCAACCAACTCAAATATATACTCCTTATAGGTGTTTACCCATATCTATTTTGATGGTAAATATGCATTATATAGCACTGAGAGAACCTAAAAACTCAGACTAAAAATTGCAGAAAGACCTAATTGGAGGACCAACTCATATAATACGTTGCTATTTTGGCAAAGTAAATTTTTTAAAGAAAGGTTAAAGTTTTATTCTGAGTTTTTGGTATTCCACTTTT